GCGGCAGCAGGCCGCAGCGGGCCTCAGGGGCCTGGCGCCGCGGGGGAGGCGGGGTGAGGAGCCGCCGCGGGCCTAACGCTGCGGGCGGGCGGTGAGGAATCATGAAGGGCTTTTCTACGCCCGGGGGTGGGGAGGGGATAACGAGCGGTCCGGGGGCTCCCGCCCGAGGGAGGGGCGGCCCCGCCATGGTCCGGCCTTGTCGCTCCGCCGGCCTGACGAGCGCCCGGGTCCGCGTTTGCACCGCCTGCTGAGGCCGGGCCTCCTCCCGGGGCTGGCCCGCAGACCGTGGGGCCGGGCGAGCGGCTGGGACTTGGCTGGCGTTTGGGAGAAACGCGGTGGCTCTCAGGACGCTGCTCCGCCCCGTGTGTTGTGTCTCTGACCGCGTCCACACCGAATGACAGAGAATGAATGGCAAAGATGTGCTGTTTGGATATCATGGCCACCCTTATATCTTCATTTTTTTCTGTTTTTACCTGGAAGTTACCTCCCTTTTGTACCCTTTCCTCGTAATAAATGGATGAGTTGCATCTTTTCCTTGAAAGCGTGGTGTTCTTTGCTGTATTACTTTCTTTAGATCTCTTGCTCTCCTCCTCAGTCCCAGAATTATAGGTCTTGGAGGAATTTCCAGAAGTTGTCTGATATCCCTACCTTACCAAGGCGGGATTGACTGCTGATGACAGACATTTGTCTAACCTGTTTTTAACTCTCTCCAATGTTCACAATTTCATAATCTTTCTAGGCAGTTTATTCCTTTTCCCTCTTCTTTTCCTTCCACATCCTTTGAATTTTTCTTGGCTTCCTCCAGCTTCCTGAGAGAGAATCAGAGATACTATATTTGGCTCCCATTTCTTGTCAGTTCTGCACTTTGTGTCTTGATAATATTTGTAGATATAAATTTAAAGATTTTGAGTAAGCCGCCAAAGTTTACTCTGTATCTAGAATCTTGTTATGAAGAAAGGGTATAAGTCTTGAATTGAATGTGGCTTTTCTATCCAGCCTGAGGCAGCTGAACAGTGTTCAGGCCATCACCATGTTTTGTTTGGATGTTTGTGTCTAGAAGTCCAAGGCTTGGTGATTACATAAGTAGCAGAATGTGAATATCAAAGCAGATTTATTGCTTGCTTAAAGCAAACAAATAATTCTTTGTCATATGCATTACAACATACCTAATACGAGGACCAAATTTTCATTATCATTAATTTTTGACCTAAGTAGATTGATTTGGCTTAACATACTTCATCGTTTTGTGAATTGATTTCTGAGCTGGTTATTTTGCAGGAGGGTGTCACTGGGAAATATCCTTAGGTTGGCAAGTTCATTCATGTGATCAGTGTTACCAGCATGTGACTCCCAAAGCGGTGGTTATTTTTTTAAACTGCTGCTTGAAAGTGGTTTTTTTTGTGTTTTTTTTCTGTTCTTTTGTAGTTGGGAAGACCTCTCTCATCACCAGGTTTATGTATGACAGTTTTGACAATACTTACCAGGTATGTGGTAGTTTTGTTAGTCTGGGGTGTGGGGTTTTTTTTAAAAAAAAAAAATATATATCAGTAAATCTGTTCCCTGCTATTAAAGTGTGAGAACTGTTAGGAGCAAGCATGTTCCCATGAGATGTCAGTTCAATATCATATGTAAGGTTGTAATGTGCCTTGAAATGGAGATGAGACTTCTTGATCAAACCCAAGCATCTAGTGTGATGTTGGGGATTACAGTGTACAAAAAAGAAGCAAGGTTTAGATCCTGTCTGGGTGTGTGAGAAGCCTTGAGGAAAACAGGGAGAAATATTGGTTTCTGGGGTTGGCTAACAGAGAAGACAGTGGTCAGGATGCCTGAAGATGGATATGGAAGCCTTGGGAAACAGAGAGTAAGAATGAAATACAAATATTTATGATGGTTTCTGGTCTCTAGCATCTGAGTCCAGAGTGCATACATAGATCTGCAAGAAGTCACCATGGTATATTCTTCTTTTCTAATTTTTTTTTATTACTACTTTTTTTTTTTTTTTTTCTTTTTTCTTTAACTAGAAGGCTATAGATAGAAAAAGGCAGGGAGATCTTGGCAGGAAAAGAGTAGGATAGGGATGAGGAGGCTGCAGATGAGAAACTGAACATGTGTAAGAGGCCTGAAGATCTCGGGAAGAGTCAGTTGCATTAAAAGCACTTAGTGGTATTTCAAGGGGATGCCAAATACCTTTAAGGAAGATGAGACTAGGGTGTTATCTTTTAATTTGGGCCAGAAAGAGTCACTGGCTTAGGTTGGGGTGACTTTGCCTTCTCTCTTGCTCTTTTTAAATAGAACAAGCCTTTTTTTTTCTTTTTTTTTTTTTTTTTCTTTTTTCTTTAACTAGAAGGCTATAGATAGAAAAAGGCAGGGAGATCTTGGCAGGAAAAGAGTAGGATAGGGATGAGGAGGCTGCAGATGAGAAACTGAACATGTGTAAGAGGCCTGAAGATCTCGGGAAGAGTCAGTTGCATTAAAAGCACTTAGTGGTATTTCAAGGGGATGCCAAATACCTTTAAGGAAGATGAGACTAGGGTGTTATCTTTTAATTTGGGCCAGAAAGAGTCACTGGCTTAGGTTGGGGTGACTTTAAGGTGGAAAAGGAAGAAAAGATTGTTTTCTTGAGGACAAGACATTCACTGGAACTGGATCCTCTTGTGCTTTCTGTGTTTCTTGTCCTGATTTTTGTAAGGTGCTCTTGTAAATTTACCTGCTTGTTGTAGCTGTTATAAACTCTGTTTTGCCTGCAGAAAATAGGACTAGAAACCAGTACTAACTACAGAAATTGACTGTTGGGGTCTCTTCTAATGTTAAGTGGCTCATGTTCTGATGGAGACCTTCCAGACCATGTTATGCTGCTTGTGTTTAAGACAGATAATCTGTCTAAAATGCTCAAATCTGTGACATCAGTAGCCTGTCTCCTGGAGTTATGATGGCCTAGGACATCTGCTTGATTTAAGTGCCTGGGATTGCATCTAACTTAGTAAATTACTTTAAGTGTCTTTGTGCTGGAATTGCTGTACAGCAATGAAAACGTGAATGGAAGGAGACATCCAGAAAGAACTGCCTGGGAAGTGAAGCTTTTGAATTTCACTGGAAAGGAAGCACATTCTGAAATGGAAAGCCCGAAATGAATGTTGCTTTTTAGCTTTCAGTACAGTTGCCCACAATTTATATATATATCTAATTTGCTCCATCTTTTGGTTATTTCTAAGAAGATAATTCTTGCCAGACTGAATTGCGGTAGAGCAGAAAGACATGCCAGTTCAGATATGATCTGTGTATAGATGCATGAACGTCTGAGGCTAAAATCCAGACTCAGAGGTTCTCAGGCAGTAGAGAAGTGTTAGAAGAATGATGTGAAACGAAGATGGTGCAGATATCCAGCTTGCTTTCTTTTTTTATCGACCATATTGAAGGCAAATGACTTCAACAGCTTAATTGTAAGTTTGTGAACGTTTCTGAGAGTTTGTGTAGAAAAGATCCGAGTTGCAGATGCTGGGAGGCGAGTTGCAGTTACTAATGCTTTTTCTTCTTTTCAGGCGACCATTGGAATTGATTTCCTGTCAAAAACAATGTATCTTGAAGATCGCACGGTAAGTGAGGCGTCTGTGTGATAGCATGGCGGCTGCAGGCAGCGCAGCGGCGGCTGCTGCGCGTGCTGTTCCGCCTGGCTGTCCCTCCAATGGCTCCTGACATCCCCCAGCAGCCTTCAGAGGGGCAGCCCTTGTTAAATCGAATCGCTGCCCCACTCTCCTGTTTCTGATACGTGTTAATATCCGGTACCTCTAGAATGAAGTCAAAATCTTTCATGCAAAATCAGGGCAAGCTAATGTCCATATCCCAAGCCATGGGCTGTTCTGCTATGGCCTATCTACTTCAGATCTAGTTTGCTCCCAGAATTTGCAGCTCTGCCTCTGGGATTGTCAGTAGAAATGGTTCTGAGCAGACCTCAGGCAGTCCCAAGTCTTGAGGTCATTAGGGATTACCAGTGGGGGCATAGTTCCTTTCCATAGAAACCCTCCTTTTGTAACACAGTTCTCACTTATTGTTAATAAAGTAATTTTGGCTTTAGCTTGCATGAGATTCCTTTTTGCATAAAGAGATCCCTCACATCCCTCTCCTGTCTTTCAGTATTTGTTTGTTTCATTAGTTCATGTTTTGCTAGTAGTTGCCTTTTTGCTAGTTTTACTGTTGACTGAGAAACTGTTGTGGGGCAGAAGGGTGTGTGGTGTGTGATGGAAGTCCTTTGTTTTGCTTGGGGTCTGTTGCTTCTGAAGATGTCTCAGCCCAGTGTGTGGTGAGTTCACCAAGTGTTCCTTTACCATTTTACCAGTGATTCCCCCTTTAGAAAAGACCTTGCTTAATCTTTATTTGGGAGAAACTACTTGTATAACATTCTTCAATGGTGCTAGCAGTGGCAGGAGAAGAAAAAGATCTTGGGAATGCTGCTTAACACCTGTGAAGGCCAGTTGGAATGCCTGCGTGCTGTTTTCAGCAGCGTAGTCTTGATTTATTGTGGTTGTGTAGCTCAGAATGTCATTTACCTGCCCACTATCCAAAAAGTACCTTTTTCTTTCTGATGTTGGATATACTGTTAGCTTTCCTGCTTCTGTAAGTGGTCCACAGAGCCCGTAAAGCCTGTTTAAATAACAGAGAGGTGTGATGAGGGGGAAATTCAGACATGGAAATAATTTCTCAGATGTGGCTAATGAAATGAAGAACGTTAAGCCTCTAACTACAGCATATGCTTCAGCACATTTGGTAATGTCTTCACACCAAATAATGTACCTTGAAATTATACCTGTGCCAGATCACTCAGCGCTAAATGTGGCCTGAGTAGCAACTACTAGCCAGCAGAAAGGACAAATGTATGTGGAGCTGGGTTCTTCACAACCATCTCAAGTAGCCAGCGCGTTGGGAGCTGTGGCACTAAGCGAGCTGGGGCCACAAGAAGCCCCGTCCTCACTCCCAGCTGTCAGGCTGCTAGTTCCCTGTTACAGCTACAACATCATTCTTGAAAGACTGAGTAGTGGCTCCTTCTCTGAGTCTTGATATCTTCCCAGACTTGGATTTAAGCACAAGGTAAGCCAGTCTAGAGAGTGTTGGCTATCCTGCTACCCCGCTGCTATATTTCAGTACTTGACATCAGGCTTTCCAGTGGATTCATCTGCAGTGGGGTGATGTGGTCCTTATGGTTAGGAGTCACCACATCTAACTAGCTGTAGGCTGCAGTTTGCTTGTGTGGCTCTTGTAGCCCTGCACTGAGGTATGTATGCTTATTTCCCTCTTTAGCACATGGTGTGAGAAGGTATTTTTTTAGGGATGTCTTGGTTTTATGATTAACTGGAAGCACACGTTCATATGTGTGAGTTATTAATGGGTCTGTGGAGGGAGGGAGGTTTCTTAGACGTGCAGTTAGAAGTGCCATTAGCTCTTTTCACATTTCTGTTCCGTTTTAACTTTTCCTTTTGTTGCATTATTTTTGCCTTGCAATTTTTTTTCTTTCTTTTTATTTCACTTGAGTTTTGGTTTTGTTTTCCATTTTCCTGCTCTTCCCTTTCCCCCTTCCCCTACGCTTTTCCATTTCCCAGATCAGGCTGCAGCTGTGGGATACAGCCGGCCAGGAGAGGTTCCGCAGCCTCATTCCCAGCTACATCCGTGACTCTGCTGTGGCTGTCATTGTCTTTGACATTACAAGTAGGTATTGAGCCAGAGTGTCTGCAGGGACCTTGCTTTTAACATGTACCTTTTATGCACTAGAAGTGGTGGTGTTATCTGAAAGGAGCTAAGACAGTTGGAGGAGGAGGAGGAGCTAAGGCCCTTGGCCCCAGGACTGTAGGTGTTTCATGGGCTGAGGGGAAGTAGCTGAGCATCTTCCCCCCCCCAGACAGTGGTAACTCCATCCCATAATACAGAAACTGAGTAATTGTTTAACCCTGGTCTGCTCAAAGCTCAAATGGTGGAAATGATACACAAGAGGACTGGCAGGTGGGTGAACAGGGATTGTGATTTCCCGTGTGTCTGTGCTGATTGGAATGAAAGGTGGTTGGTAGTCCTTGGAAAGCTTTATGTTTTTTCTTGTGTTGGTTTTATTAAACCTCAAAATGATTATTTTTTCCCTCCCTGGTTAACTAGAGAGGTAATAAAAGTAATGACTTCAGATACCAAAGCAATGGAATAGTGTCAGAGTAGGTAGAACAGTACAACACCCATTTAAATCAAAGTGATTTTGGAGGATTCAAGACTCCCATTTCATTGAAGAGGAGAGATGGTGATTCATATGAGTAACCAGAGAGCTTTTGAAAGAGAAGAGATGTAACTGCTCTAATTTCTAAAAAATAAACAAGCTTAAAGGGAAATCCTCCATAATTCTTGGCATTAATGTTTTAGTATAAGATATGAATATAAGAATACAATTATTTCATTATAACTCCTTGTTATTGTACTTGACTCTGGGAGGATTTCTGGTTTGGTGCAAACTAATGTAAAAATGGAGTGATGTGGGTTTAAGGAGTGCTGAGATGTGCATGTGATGATGTGTCGATGGCTGGGAGCTCTTCTAGGTGGGGCAGTGTGGCAGGCTGCATAGGTTGCCATCTTTTGTCCCTGTGGTTGTGACAGCCACAGGATGCTGTTTATCCAGGCAGGTGGAAAAATCTTGCCAGTCCAGGCTGTTCTTAATAACTTCCAGACCTGTCAAAAATAATTAAGTGAGAGCTGATCTCATCATACTTTGGTAATGGTCCCATCTTTTCAGGTAATTTCACTTTTTTTTTTTTTTTTTTTTCTGCTCTTTGTTCTGTTCTTAGTGACTGGGAGGCTTTTAGTTTTATTGTGTTATCAAAGGAAGGTGCTCATGTACCTCTGAGGGCATGATGATGGTGAGTGCTAGTGTGATTAGGAAAACAGATTCCTTTACCACTCTGAAGAGCTATATATTTGCATTGTCTATAGTGGTAACTGTATTTGGGAACCTCGAATAGTCTCCTGTTAGTTAATGATTGTTGTGGTAGTGTAAAATAGGAAGAGTCCCATAGGACATACTTAAGTGCCAGTCAAGATACTCTTAACTAGCAGGGAAAAAACAATAAACTAGCATGTAGGGAGCTGATTTAAAAAAAAAAAAAAAAAGAGAAATTGCTTGCTTATTGTTACTGTGCTGGGCATCTTGAAGTGGTCCATGGAGAGAGATCCATGGTAAAATTCCCTATTGCAACTCTGGCCCCTTTCTGAACAAGTTGCCTTCTCTGTAAGAAAGGGTTAACTCCTGGTTGAGAACCTTTCATCTTTCCAGACCAGTAGGGTCATTGGCATGCGAGTGGGTTATTTATATTTTTTCTTCCCCTCCACAAACTTTGGCTTGTAGAAATGAGAAGCTACAGGAGACTGTGGTCACTTCAGGAGTACCTACACACCAGCTGAAGACCTTCCCTCAAATAGCGTTACCCTTCACTACGAGATTACTGGGGACAGTTCTTCCCTAGTTCTGTCGTACTTCCTCTCGTTGCCTTTTTGAGTCTGAAGGTTGGAGGGTTTAAATTTCCACCTCTGTAAACTTTCTGGGTGAATAGTCTGGTGTAGCAGCAATGTCTTGGGCGCTGTGGGGCAGCTTGCTGTGAGGGCTAGAAGCCAGAGCCCGAAGCTGTCATTATCAATCTGATCTGTCAGCACGGGTATGATATTGTCCAGGTGGATGAAGTTTTTCACCCTGAGTTTCCCTGGGGTAGTGAAGAGTCCCGAGTTTTGCAACTGTAATCAAGGCTGCCTTCAAGATGAAGCAGGAGCTAATTGCTTTAACTATAAGGCCTAATCTTCCTTAAGCCCTAGGGCATCAGATCTACATACCCTGATGTAGATGCCATGTTTTGAATCTGCTTGTGAGACACTTTGCAGACTTGTACTATGTCCAGCTTCTACTTATCTCCTAAACAAGCCAATTATTGGTCCTTCTGAAACCACTTTCTCTGTTACAGCCAGTCTCCTACAAGCTGCCTTATTAACTGCTGTTTCATGCATAAACAGCTGCTTTCCTTCATTGCTGAACAAGTGGCTTTGTGAGCACATCTGATTCATGTCATTAAGCTGAAAACCAGTGTCTGCCCTCCTATGAAACTCGTGCCTGTTGAGAATGCCAACAGCAATCATGTTTTCTGGCAGTGGAGTGGTAGCTGTAGAGGTAGCCAGGGAGGGTAATGACTTGGAAGGAAAGGGTATCACTCCCAGTTATGAAAAAAGCTTTTGTTTAGCATTCACTGGGGTAGTTGGGCATGTTTTGAACGTTGCTGTTTCAAACAGGCAGGTGCCAGACCTTAGAGCTAACATTTATAATAGGTCAGTTTGTGTTTGGGCATAGTTCTGGAGATCAGACTGTGCTTCTCCTACTCTTTGTGATTGTTTCTGCCTCCTGTGCTTATCTGAAAGGGAGAACCCGATGCCCTTTGTGTCACACGAAGCCTACAGTATGTAACTTTTGCTTTTCTTTCTGCTGGAGCTTATTGATTGCCTTAATCTTGCATGAAAATCCCCATTGCCATCTTCTGGATGCTTGATGCTGGAGAATGGATGCTGTTTTGCTATGTGCTGTCTGGGCTGAGGGGACTGCGTGTCTGTCATGTGGGAATTGCCCAAAAAGCCTTGATCTGAGATACTCTAGGCTAGGAGTCTGGTGGAGACCCCATACAGAGTGCTGGGTAGACCAGGAAGGCCAGCTCTGTATTGTTAGCTGCCACTCTCAGCATTTGGGTAGCAGCCATAACCTAGAGCTCTTTGGGCACACCGGAATCTCTAGGCAAACACATTCTCTACAACCAGAGTCAGAAAAGCCAACTTTGGTGGTGGTTGGAAATTTGGGGCAAGATTACAAGGTCAACCTCAGCTTCTCAGACTGAGCTGCATAGAGTGAATTCTAGAAATGGCCTTTTCTCTAAAGGACAGTTTCCTCCTTTCTTTTCTCTCTTGCTCTCTCTCTCTCTCTCTCTCTTTCTCTCTGCTCTCCCTGGCCTGGTACCAGCAGGTTCGGCTGCAGCTTTGGGACACAGCAGGCCAGGAGCGGTTCCGCAGTCTCATTCCCAGCTACATCCGCGACTCCACCATTGCTGTGGTAGTCTATGACATTACAAGTGAGTGATGCTTTGGTGTCTCATTATTCAAAATAATACATGTCAGCAGAACTAGTAAGTTAAAACCAGAAGTTCTGCAAAAAGAGGATTAACATTAGAAATGTTTTTGGTTTTTTTTACCCTGCCGTGCTTTTCTGTCTGAGCAGAAAACAATTTATGGGTCGTTTATGTGTGGTGTGGGAAGATTTGGAGAAGCACCTTCCCTCTCTGAAAAGGAGTTTTATCCTGTTTGATTCTTCCCTACAGACTTGAATTCTTTCCAGCAAACCTCCAAGTGGATTGATGACGTTCGGACAGAGAGAGGAAGCGACGTCATCATCATGTTGGTGGGGAACAAAACCGACCTGGCAGACAAGAGGTAATGGAGGGGAGCTGGCAGCCTGGCTGTCCTGGCCAGTAAAAGCAAGGAATTGACCAACTGGTCTGTCTTCAACACAATTTGTTGACTTGAAATGAAGTATAAATAGCTAGCAAGTTTCTGCTTGTTCCAAGATGCAGCATGAGCTTTTATAGGATCAGTCTAAAAGGCTTCCTTCTCAGACTAAATTCATGTCATACATAACACAAACTGTTATGTTGTGGATATGTGAGAGGAAATTAAATTAGCAAAAGCAGACTTCCCCAAGAGACTTAAGAAGTTAATTAGACTCTGAAAATCACACAGATTTAATGTTTTGGGACACGTCATAGAGCATTTTGCCTTTAAAACTCTTAATCCTGCAATGGCACTTCAACATAACCATGTGAGAGCTGCTTAGAAGACCACGGGCTTGTGCTTTTGCAATTCTATCCTCTTGATCGTTGATTTAGCAAAAAATTTGTTTAATATTTTCAGAGATTATCATTCTTTATGAAGATGTCAGAAACAGTCTAGATAAGTAAAGATTTTTGTTTTAATAGTTAGTAGTAGTTGGCAAAGGGAAGATGGAGTAAGCCGTGCAGTTCCTTACAGTCCCAATACTTTACACTGAAACATCTTTGCATACACCAGGTCCTCTAAAATGTCAGAGAACATATGAAGCATTGAAATGATGGGAAATTTTTATCAGATGCAAAAGAAGGCATCTCAGAAAGGCAGAACTGGGAAACACCTGGATCTCACAGCAACACGAGGTCTTATAAAATCAAACCCTTATCCTTTGCCTGTTCACAAGACATTTCTGATAAAAAAAATAACAGCTTGAAAAGCCTTCCAGGAGGAACATAAATATTTTCTCAGAAAAATCTTGCTCTGTTATCTGAACTGCCTGTTTTTTAACTTGGTTCCTTGGGATGATGGGCCTAATAGGGATCTGTTTCATTGTTGGATGTTATCACATTTTAAATTCCAACCCTTGCTTTATTCCTGCAGTGTACATATTGCTTCAAAATGTATTGTGATGTGTTTTTTCCCCTTGTAGTTTTGGTGTTGTCCAAATGCTCATATGAGACAGTAGCCAGCATCCCTGGCTGCACAAACTGGTCTCAGGAGATGCTTTTTGCCATTTATTCCTGTACAAGTTTTTTCGTTTGTCATGCCTAGCAGGAAAAGCAGAGATAATTCTGACACTGGCAGGTGGTTTGAGTCAGCTGGGGGGGGGAAAAAAGATAAAGTTAGACTCTAACAAGGCTCTGTGTGAGCTTTGTACTGATGGTTCCTACAGAAACGTGGTCTTTGTCCACCACACAGACCACCTCAGTCTTTACAACTGTTTGGCTTTTTCCATTTCCAGTGGGGGGGCCCTTCTAAGTGGCCTGTGCCTTCCACTTTGGAAATGTTGATAAAAGTTGGTGTTCAGAGCTTCAGAAATATGATAAAAATGTGTATAGCTGCTTTGGATTAAGAATTCCAGGTGGCAAGACCTCAGATCAGTCTCTGAAATCAGCTTACAAAAAGCAACAGAGCAAAATCCAAGATATTCTACTTGAGCCAGCTCTGGATATTGACAGCATAACTCATATGCCCTACTGGGAACTGGAAATAACTGCAGCTCCCCAACTGAATAACCTGAATTTCTATCAAAATCCAGTTTCATGTGGAACTGGAAAACCCAATGGGATAATTTCAGCCTTGGATTATTTCCTGATAGTACGTAAGTGAAGGAGAGTGTGTGCAGGACAGCTGGCCCAGCACTGTCATAAGAATTAAAAATATGAGAAAATTGTTTGAAACATAGCTAGAGTTGAAGTTCATGTAGCACTAGAAGTTCTTATTCTTATTTTAGAAGCTTATTCTTATTTTAGAAGCTTATTCTTATTTTAGAAGCTTAATGTGAGCAACAGTGTTACCAGTCTACCAGGACAGTAGTCCTGGTCTAGGCTAGAATTTGGAATTGTGGTGTATATCCAGGTACCAGTAAAAGAAGCTGCCTTGCCTTTCTTTTAAAGAGAAGGTACAGCTGAAATACCAGGCCTTTTAAGGCTGGGCAAAGCCACAGTATCAGTCTGAGCTTTGTCACATTTTTTCAAAATAGGATGAATGGCTTCCAATATGCTGTATTCTATGGTAAAAACCAAGTGATGATGCAAGTTAAGTTCTGAGGCCAGAAAGCTGAACTAAAAATAGCACTGTTCTTACTCGGTGCAGCCGGTTAAGTTTTTTCTTTCCTGCTAATGTTGCTTCAGTTGGTGGCTGGGTTTTTTGATTTTGTTTTCTGCAGTTTTCTTTTTATTCTTTTTGGACGATTTTTTCTTTGTTTTGGTTTTTCTTTTCTGTGATTTGTTCTCGTTGCTGTAGACAGGTTTCTATAGAGGAGGGTGAGAGAAAAGCCCAAGAACTGAATATGATGTATATTGAAACCAGTGCTAAAGCAGGATATAATGTGAAACAGGTATGTACAGGATATTGATGAGAGATGCGTTTGGAGGTGCTTGCTCTCAGCCAGCAGCCTGGCATTTGCTGTTGCATTCTACTTGCTGCTGGAGCCTTTCTGAAACCTTTCTGTAACCTCACAGAGTTCCCTCCTGTTGACTTTTGGGAAACTGCTTTTTGTATCAGGTGCAGCTTCTGGGGATTTTTCCTTCCCTTGAGGATGCTGTGAATGAGGCTTAAATGTACTGCACAAACTTCATCCTGTGCTGATTGTCTGTTATTAACAGCCATAAGCCCAGGCATTCCCTGGGTAACTTACCTGAGGTTGTTTCAGTCTTAGCTGGAGGACCTGGGAGTCTTTAAGACTCAGAGGTCCTGAGGTCTCCATTGGTGGACTCTGCACCCTCCCAGGGGGTGGTGAAGCCCTCCACTGAAGAGCGTCTCAGTCACAGACATCTAACTCTCCCTGTCTGTTCTTCCTTTCTGTCTTTCTGCTTCTGTTTGAATCTCTGTCCAGGCAAATCACTACAGAAGAAGGCGAACAGAGAGCCAAAGAGCTGAATGTGATGTTTATTGAGACCAGTGCAAAGACTGGATACAATGTGAAACAGGTAGATCAAAGTTATGTTCTAAAGGCAGGAAATCTGCCCTTGATTGCTCTGTGTAGGAATGCTTCTGCTTCATGTTCCATCAGAAAATTGCTTGTAGTCTTTACTGTCAGCCCCTGAAATGCTTCTTGCTCAATGATCACTGCCACACCTTTATCTACTGGAAGCTCCTTTCCTGCCAGGTCAGTGATTCCCAGTTAAAGCTAAGCAAACTCACCTTGAACGAAAGGAGAACCTAAAACCAGAATGTGCTGAGGGATAGGAGTGGCACTATTTTGCACAGCCGGTCAAACATAATTTTTGTACATTCACTTTGCTTTTGTTAACAGTTAAGGCACTGTTTTCCAAAATCAGTGTTGACATCAGTCAGGATAATTGCTTATGCTGATGCACTAGAGCAGAAGTTCCTGCTTCTGTTTGCAAGCTGCAGAGGAAAATCTCAGAATAGTTGAGGTTGGAAAGGATCGTCTAGTCCAAACCTCATGCTCAGAGCAGGCTGCCCAAACCTGACTAGTTGGGTTTTGAATATCTCAAAAGATAGAGACCCCATTTCTCCATGCAGCCTGGCACAGTGTTTGACCATCTGTAAGGTAAAAAAAAAAACACTTTAAATGTTTCTCTTGTGTTTAAACAGAACTTCTTGTATTTCAGTTTGTGCCCATTGCCTTTTGGTATAAGCTTTGGGTTTGTTTCTTTTGACAATTCTGGATCGAATCTACTTTAGTCTTTGGTCCTGACTTCCTGTTGCTTTATTTGTCTAGCGGGTGTTCTCAGTGAGAACTTCTGTGACTTAAAGGATGCAAATTGCAGCCCCTTGCTAGTACCTCAGTGGCTTGATTTTCCAAGTGACACAATTTGGAGGTGTGGATGAGAAGCCCCCGCCAAGCTACTATGAGAAAAGTCATCATTAACTGATGATTCCTCTAGCTCTTCATGCAGCGCTTTTCAGCAGAGAGCCTGGCGGTGTCTGTGTGTGAGCTGCTGCATCGATGTCAGCAGGAGGAGCTCTTAAGCATTGACTTGAAAAATTATGCAAACCATTTGCTGTTTTTATGGGGATATGATAGTCCTTCCCAGCTCTCACACATCCTCAGTAGCTTAAATGCAGCTCACTTGAGTCAGCTGTTGTGCTTAGAAATCACTGGTTTGCAGCAGGACTGAAGTGAAAGGATGGGGTGTAAAATCTCCATTATCCATAGATTTCTTAAACCTTTGGTCTCTTCTGAGGTTGCTTATCAGAAGTCTAGAGTTTTGCACTGTAACATTGCTGGGTGCAAAAGCAGTTGAGGCTGGAAATGATAGATGACGTGCTTAGTGAGTGCAGGAGGGAATTGTTCTATGTGTCCCTGGAAGAACTGTTACTAATTAATACCATGTTCTGTTCAAACAGAAACAGGTAAAATAAAAATGTCTTTTTTAGGCATTAACTTCCTTAATAAAACCTGTTAAATTTCTTAGATAATATTCTTGTGGCACTTGTTGATCATGTTTTGCTTGCTAAAGTACCCATGTAACAAGTTTGTACAATTTGGACTCTAAGATCTGCTGTAAAGCAATGTGTTTTTAACATGTGTGTTTTTTCTGACAACTCTTCAGCTCTACCTGTTTCTCCTTTTCAGCTTTTCCGTCGTGTGGCTGCTGCCTTACCTGGGATGGACAGCACACCAGAGAAGAGCAAAGAAGACAGTATCCTTGCTTTCTCATCAGTAACTTTTCCTGGTCTTGTAGTATTTGACAATTATCTTTTGTTAGGTTGGGCTTACTGCCTTTTTGGCACGTTGTGGGGATGGGCCTTACTGGGGTTTTGCAGAGATATGGCTGCCACAACCAGTGTAAGTGTGGTGCTTACCTGTGGGCAAAAATTGATGACCCTGCTTGTGGTCTGTACATAAATGTACACAACTACTGAGGATGCAGTTAAGCAGGAGTGTTGACTCCCAGGAGGATAGGGAAGCTTTGCAAGAGGATCTAGATAGATTGGATCACTGGGCCAATGCCAATAGAATGAGTTTCAACAAGGGCAAGTGCAAGGTCCTGCACTTGGGCCACAATAACCCCCTGCAGCGCTACAGGCTGGGGGAAGTGTGGCTGGAGCTGCCTGGAGGAAAGAGACCTGGGGGTTCGAGTTGCCAAAGGGCTGAATATGAGCCAGCGTGTGCCCAGGGGGGCAAGAAAGCCAATGGCATCCTGGCTTGTATCAAAAATAGTGTGACCAGCAGAAGTAGGGAGGTGATTGTGCCCCTGTACTCAGCACTGGTGAGGCCACACCTCGAGTATTGTGTCCAGTTCTGGGCACCTCAATACAAGAGAGATCTCGAGGTGCTGGAGCGAGTGCAGAGGAGGGCAACGAAGCTGGTGAGGGGGCTGGAAAACAAATCGTATGAGGAGCAGCTGAGGGAGCTGGGGCTGTTTAGTGTGAGGAAGAGGAGGCTGAGGGGAGACCTCCTCATTCTCTACAACTTTGTGAAAGGACACTGTAGAGAGGTTGGTGCTGGTCTCTTCTCACAGGTAATTAGTGACAGAACGAGAGGGAACGGCTTCAAGCTCCAACAGGGGAGGTTTAGATTGAACATTAGGAAGGAATTTTTCACTGAAAGAGTGGTCGGGCATTGGAACAGGCTGCCCAGGGAGGGGGTGGAGTCCCCATCCCTGGCTGTGTTTAAGGGCCGTTTAGATGCAGTGCTGAGGGACATGGTGTAGGGGAGGACTTTGTAGAGTAGGGGAGGTGGTTGGACTCGATGATCCCAAGGGTCTCTTCCAACCTAGACGATTCTAGGATTCTATGCCAAGTGCAGATTTTGCTTTCTCCACATAAGCTTAGGATAAAAATTGCAGTTTTAAAATACCATTAATTCTTTCCTCTGTTTGCACAGGGCTGTCTCGTGCCCAGATCTGTCTGATGGGGCTCTGTCCTCTACAGGATCTTGACATACCGAGTCCACTTGCTTTGCAGTTTTTTCTTAACTTGTCTCCCTGCAGTGATTGACATCAAACTAGAGAAACCTCCTGAGCAGCCAGTAACGGAGAGCGGGTGCTCCTGCTAACAGGCCCGTTCTGTAGCAGCACATTCCCCAACCGGCCAGTCTCACTGAAGAACATCACCGCTCATTGGCTAGGCAACCCTACTTTGTGGGCTGAAAAAAAAAACCAATCTACTAAAGCGAGCGAACTCCCTGTTTACTGGTGGGGAGCAGCCCCGGCCGCCCCTCTTACTGCATGGTATGAGCCCTGAGTGCAGAATGAGTGTCCTGTCTTTTCTTTTATTTTTTTATGTTGTTGCACTTTGGCACTGCGGTGCCCTTTACACTCTTTCTCTCTCTTCCTCTCCTTCACCCCTTCTTCTCCTCCTCCCTGGCCCCCCTCCTCCCCCCCCCCCACCTTGCGCCTGCCCGCTCACTCGCATCCTT